TCCGTTATTGTTGAATCATTGAAGCAGAAGTACGGAGAAAAGGGAGCTATTATAAGATATCTACATTCCGAGTTGCGAGCGCTACCCAATGCTGAGGAATCAAAAAACTTGAGCCAAACGGTTGAAGATCTGGAGGAAATTTTGCGTCAACTTGAGTCATTTGGAGAACAGATTGAACACCCTCAAGTAGAAATTCTAATTGAGGGGAAAATGCCAAAATGGGTTTGCATGAAATTTATCAATTGAAAGAGAAGGAAGATCAATGGAGTGTTAGAAAGCTTCGCAAGTCCATCAGCAACATTGTGGAAAGAATGGGTAAGGTGAATCGAGTCACTGAAGAGACTCAGCAATCTAAACTGAAGATGGACACCAAGACAACAGAATCAAATCGAAAGTCAGCGCATTTCAATGAAACTTCAGCTCTGGCAGCTATTGTGCCGGAAAGGACTCCTAGTATACGTGGTAAAACACTGTGTAAGTTTTGTCAAGGTGAACACTGGAGCACAGCTTGTAAGCAATACATTTCAGTAGAAGAGCGGTCGAAAAGAATCAAAGAATTGTGGCTGTTTCAAGTGTCTTCGAAAAGGGCACAGAGCCAACGACTGCCCCATGAAACTGAAACCGTGTTATATTTGTAAGAGAATGCATAATGCTGCTTTATGTACTGGAAAAGAGAAGCATCAGCAAATGCAAAATGCAGCAGAAAAGGAAGAGAATGATTTAAAAAAAGGTCAACGAAGTAATAAAGATGACAGCCGCAGCAGTGGACTTAGCGAGTGATAGCACTGAGACGGTATTACTGTTGTGCAGAGAAGTTAATGTAATAAATCCTAAAACTAAGGAAAAGGTGACTACTACAGCCTTTCTGGATGTCGGACCTTAGTTATCATTTATCACAAATGAATTGTCAGAACAGCTCAGACTTCAGCGTAATGAAACGAAGACGCTCAGTATTGAAGGATTTGCCCAAGAGGAAAGCAAAGAGCGCCCAACAGCTTTAGTTTCATTTGGAATGGAACTGAAGGACGGTAAACAGCAAGTAATCAAAGCTCGAACAATGAATCGGCTTACTTTGAATTTATTGAGAATCAAAATTTCACCGGAACATGAAAGAGGGTTAATGAAAAAGGACGTAATCGATTGGAAAAAATTCAAATGGGAGCGGAACAAACCAAATTTATTAATTGGCGCAGATTACTTTTTTTTGATTTAAACCCGCAAGTGGTCAAGACTTTCACCAACGGTTTCCAGCTAGTGGATACGGAAATCGGATTGATAGCAGCGGGGAGTGGCGCTTTTGATTTCAATAGTAAAAAATTAGCTGATCAATTGCCCACACAAATTGAAACGATAAAGGTACTTCCAATTTTCTCTAAACAGAAAGATCCGGAGAGCGGAAATATTGAGCAGTTTTGGAAGCTAGAGCCTTTGGGGATTTCCGAATCGCCCCAAGACAAAGAAGACGAAACAGCTCTACAGCACTTCCAGAAAACTATTAAATGCGAGAAAGAAAGGTACAGCATGGATTTGAAATTCATCAGCAAAATATCAAAGGGAAAGTTTATAACTCCACTATCACCCTGGCAAGGAAGCCGATACGATTTGAGGAAATTTGCGCTGGGGTGGAGTGTCGTGAACAGTTATTCACGAAAGAAAAGGAAAAAAAGGGATATGGACGAAAGGATAAGCTCTGCTTCTTCCGCTACATTTACGATATTCTGGCTATCAATTGTTCGGATTTCCCTGATCACGCCAAACTACGCTAACACTAAATACTACTTATTCCGGACAGCACACCTGTTTTCTTGACCTGACAGTCAGCTGTGCTGACGGAAGTTGCACGTTTGAAGTTTACAGCAAAACTCTGGATAATCCCTTTCCCGTCAACCAAGCCAACCACCCGGACAGTGATGTTGACCCCGCCTTACATGAAGGAATAATTATGTCTCAGGTGCTCCGATACGCTAGAATTTGCATTACAATCCACACACTCACTCGGTGGGCCAGACGACTAAGACATGTGAATGACGAGGATATGATACTAATAGAATACAGAGAGCTCTTTTAAAATTCAGTTCCCGGAATCGTGCCATTTTAAGCACGATTCCGGGAAAAGAGCGTGCCATTTTTAATAATGAGGGAATTAAAAATCTCTGCCAGCCCATAATGAACTTACCAAATCAATAGGGATACCACCCCTAGGATTCAGATTGCACTGACAGAACAGACATGCGCTTAAATCGGTATGATTGATAATTCTCAGCTAAAATGGCATTATCTAGTGAACCATTCGCGAAAAAAAACAAAGACAAAGGCATATCTTCTGCAAATTAGTTCTACTTTTGTCTTTACTGCTACATTTATTTTCTATACAGTAACCTCTGCTTCCTTCCTTTCTTTCGACAATACAATAACTCGGCTCGGCTCGTCTTATACACGAGCCGCAAAAAATTTTTTCTGCCGACGGCTGGTAGCGCTGCCCCACGGCTGATGGCGGCAGTTTGAATGAGGGAGGTGGAAGTGAGGGTGGTAGGTGACGGGTTTCGTCCGGAGCAAGGGTGAGGGCGGGGTAGGGGAGGATAGGTGGATATAAGGACTAAATGGCTTAGATGCTTTACCGATTGACTAAGTAATGTACATTTGAAGGGAGAGGGGAGCGGTGAAGAACGGAAAGGGTGAAGAAGTGTGCTCCTGGGATTTCCCTCTTTAAAAAACTGATGCTTATGCAAAGTTGTTCCACAAAAACCCATAATCAGACTTTCCTATTTATGAAATTGATGTTTAGGTAAAGCTGTTCAACAAAAACCGTCATTAGACTTCTTTACTCATGAAATTGATGCTTAGGTAAAGCTTTTCCATAAAAACCTGCTATCAGATTTTCCTATTTATGAAACTGATGCTTAGGTAAAGCTGAAAGCGAATAAGTCCCATGAAGCGGGCAAAAACGGGTAGAATGGATGCTTGGGAAAGAAGTCAGCCTTTGTTCTTGTGGGATTTTGAAGACAAAAAAACAAAGGTATAACTGTTGTGCACAGTTGCAGGCTGCAAGATGCAACAGTTTGGAATTGTCTGCAATTCTTGTGTAATCCAGTCAGACTTATTTGCCTTCGCCTTATCTGAGCATAAGCTTCAGTAGATACCGTCGAAATCATTTGCCCTCATCTTCACCTAAGCGTAAGCTTCAGTAAATCCTGTCGAAATTATTTGCCCGCAGCTTCACCTAAGCATAAGTTCCAGTAAATCCTGTTGAAATTATTTGCCCTCCGCTTATCCCAAGCACAAGCTTTAGTAAATCCTATCGAACTTATTTGCTCTCAGATTCCCCTGAGTATAAATCTCATAGATGCGGGAACCGCTTACTGAATGCGGGTTTTTGTAAGAAAAATCCTATTCGTATAAGCTCAGTTTTTGTTTACTTTTGCTTTTTTTTACTTTTGGTTACAGGCTCCAATTCTTTAATTTTGCTTTTTTCCCTTTGTTCACAAAATCAGATTTGTTTTAACTTACTTTTTTTTGTAGTGAGTTGGTTCATTTTCCTTTTTACTGCTATCTGCAGTTCTTACTTCGAACTTCTGACTAGAACCCTTTTTCCCCTCCTGTATCTTATCCCCAACCCTGCCTCCAGAGTCGCATCGGGGCACCCATCACCTCTCACCACTATCACCGTTTATCGTCCTGAACTCCTAACCAATAACGTAACTCCTCCCCTCTATCTTAGTGTCAGTCATGCCCTCTGAGTTGTATCTAGACAATTACCAACCAATACCCCCAGCCTCCCC